GAATACTTTCATAAACAATTTTCCAAAACAGCAGAAATTATTAAGAATTACTGTATAAAAAATTTTCCAAAGAGAATTTGCTTAAAATTAATGCATAAAACTAGATATGATACAGACTTCTACAAGATAAGTAAATAAATTGTAACAAAAGAAATGTGAGCTACTATCTAAAGAACATTACATTAAAATCTGGTCCCAAGTATTTTTTTTTTTCATGCAGAGGTTCTCAACCAGTAGGGAAATCCCTTTCCTCTCAAAGGAAAGAAATTCACAATGGCAGAGGAGAGGGATTGTTACACATAGGATTTGCTGACTCTGACTGTGACAAAATGTTTCAACAAACAACAAAACAACTGAAAATAATTATATTTAATCTATTATTTGAAATTCACGTCGAAGAGGGAAATGGATCAATAAAGAAAGAGAACCACTGTTGTAATATTTCAATACAATATACCAGTATACACTATAAATGAAGATTAGAAATTTACTAGTACACAATCCTAAATATGCAGAGAATTTTCCAAACAATACATGTCATTCAGTATTTACTTTTCAAACACAAGTGTATGTTTGGATTAAAAATACAAGTGTTTTAAAAACCAATGAAAATATTAGAGTATTTTATTTGTTAAATATCTTTTCATGTAAGACTATTTAAGTTCATTCAGAGTACATACATGACTAATATGTATTCTATATGTTCATAAAATTACTAAAAAAAAGCTTAAAAATAGTCCAACAGCCTGATGACATTAAAAATTTAGTTACATCTTATGACTTACTAAATTCTAACTTACGAAATGAACGCATCAATAATAAAATAACTTAAAAATATGAAGATTTACAAAGCATTAATCACATTAGTGTTCATGAAACCTAAAAATTTCTACACGCAATTTAATAAAATTTCCAAAAATAAGAAGATGCAGACTTGAAGATGTGAATGCAACGCTGCCAATCAGTAATACTAAACCGAAAAACTCTCAAATTTTTTTAAACTGTTTCAAATTTGCATACAATCTCCATTTTAAAGTCTTTAATAAGTTTATTTCAAATTAGTCTAGTTATAAAAAAACCAGATATAGTAAAATTTATTTTTTAATATTAAATTCCTGGAAACAGATATGATTAATAAGCAAGTATGTTTCACCCAGACCCAGAATTAAGAGTAGTAACACAAATTATAGGGATTATATATGAAAGGTAATATTAAAATATCAATTCCATTATTATATGCTATTCAATATTATAAATTATTATACAGTATATTATTATTAATATATTATAAGTTATTATTATACAGTCTACACTTTACCTATAACTTATTGATAGGCTGCAAAAATATGGATTGAGAATTAATATTTCTAAATCTGTTTCTGAAGTTAATGAGAATTGCATTTGTAGGCTTTCTAATTACACCTGAAGGATCAAAACTTCTTCCTGAAAAGGTTAAAACTAGTCTTTATGTTAAATCGCCTTACACTGTGCATCAACTATGACTAAAATTTTTTCTTTTTCTATTTATAAATTAAACAATAATATTTATAGATTATTTAAAATTCTATTCATAATTTTTTTTATTTTTGTTTGTAAATATTTTTAAAAAAATTTTTATTCTCTGAATGGTTAATTTCTACTGTCATTTTTTGAAAAAGGATCCTGATACTCAAGCTAATTTACACAAGTATTTATAAGGTGCAAAGAAAAGAGAATCAGGAAAATAACTTCAACAGATGAGGCCATTCAGCACTTTGAAAAATTGCAAAGAATATTTAGCAAATGTTGCTCTTCTCTCTTACTCAGACCCAGAATTAAGAGTTATAAAACTAATTACAGGGATTCAAAATTAAAATGTATGCCACATCTGACTTAGTTGAAGAAATTATAAGCTACTACACAGAAATTCTGAGGGATATGTAAATTAGACACAATGAACTTCAATAATTAGCAACATATTAGCCATGCATGCAAGCAATACATATTCGATTCCATTCAAATGTCCATGAGAAAGACAACACAAATATTTTCCTATTTCTAAAGTCAAATACTAAAACAAGTTTAAAAAGGGCAATAAAAGCTCAGACAAATTTTCTATAAAAAATTACAATACAGAACAAATTACAAATGACACAGAAAATTTACAGTTGAAAGATAATATTGAAATATTACTTCCATTATTAAATATACAGTATATTATTACTAATATATTATAATTATAACAGGGTTCGTACACATTTCTGCACACAGAAATTAAGTACTTTTAAGGACCATTAATGAAAAAAATTACAGACCTATGAGCAAATGGGAACTGAATAAATTCAATTAAAAACATTATCTGTGCCTGAAATTCACTTTTGTAATACCATCCTAAAAATAAATAGATTCGTAAGTAGGATGCATTATTATTAAACAAAACTTAATTAACATAATTATTAATAAGTTTGAGAATAAAAAACTTCATGAAATTTATCAAGTAGCATTAAATATTTTATATTTATAATAGTTGGACACATTTGAAAGAAAATTAGTGACATTTTATTTATATTTTACTAACAGCTTTATGCTGATTTTTTTATGTCTCATTTTGCTCAGTCTAGAGGTTTAGTAAATAGCAGGTAACAACACTCAACAAAATGTTTATCCATCATTTTAATTTGAAGCCTTCCCAAATATTTTCGATACTTTATACTAAGCATGTTCTCTAACAATGAGAGATTTGTCTCAATATGCAAACCAATGTTCTCGCTAGTTTCTGTGGACTTATCTCCCAACTTATCAACCTCTCCACAAAGTACCTATGAGGGTTTAATTGATCTGGTAAGAGTTAAATAGTCCCAAGCCCCAGACAGACGTGAAGCAAATTATCGCTAGGTTTGAAAGTAATTACAATATCAGACAAAGGTTTAAAAAGAATCTCTTATTAAAAAGAACTTAGAACATAAAGGCATGTTCTGATGCTAACAAAATCAATTATAGCTCACGGTGATGTAATTAAATAAGAGCAGTCAAATTCAAAATCAAAATGTGGACTAGCGGTCAAAGATTATACAATTTAATTAAAATTTAATCTGGCTCAGTAACTCTATCATTTCAGGAAATAGACATGGGAAATTATAGTAAAGACTGAAATCATAAACAGTTGGGTAATCTACATAATAATAACTGCACATATCTTTGAGGAGTAATTTTCTTTATGTATTCAGTTTCTTTCTTCAACACGTTTCCTTTTCATTTTAGAATTTTTGGATTTAATTAAGGATTTCTGTTATTCTAAAAAAACTAAATGCATTTAGAATGTAGAGAAAAAGCTGCTAATTTTATTTCTTTAGTAATATGAACATTCAGAAGAAATATGAAATATATATGATAAGGGCCGGTTACAGAGCTGGTGTGGCAGAATTTTTAAAACTTAGAGACACACTAAGCAACAAAATCTAGAAATGACAAAACTTTTAGAATTTAGAGCAGGCATTGGAAGCAGAATTAGAAAGGCACTAGGCAGCAGAATTTAGTATCTTCAGAGATTGCATCAGGTAGGAATATGCCTAGTGCCAGCCCTGTGTATGATGCATTAAGAAATATTAGAAGAATATTTTAAACAGTTAGTTTTCAATTTCTTTATTAATAAAAAAATTCCTTTCTATAATGCCTGTCCATGTGATAGGATTAGAAGCATTTTTGATATTTTCCAAGCTTGTGTCTAGTGAAAAGTAAAGAAAATAAAGGAAAGATAAACATGTTAAGAAAAAGTTTCTAGTATCAGAAGTAAAACATTCAAATATTATGTTTTTATTGTTCTTCCAGACGTTCTCCAAAAAGTAAGAAATTAATCGCAAACTTTTTGTAAAACACATTTACTATGTGTTAATACCATGGAGACATTTTTCATTTCGTCACATTTTTCTGCAATCTTCTAGAATCGTGGGTCTATAAATCTTGCCTTCAAATCCTTTTAAACTTTCCAAGCTGCATTGTCTAAAATCCTAAAAAATTATCCCTACCAATTCTGTAACAATAAAAAGCCAGAAATATTTTGGAAAAAAGAAAAAAAAAAAAAAAAAAAAGAGGGTAAAGTATTAAATTAATTTTATAGAGAAAAACTGATGCATATTCTGAGACAATTACATGGGAAAACCTCTTACTGTGAAAAAATTAAAAAGAAGACATTTCTCATTAATTACATAGCTAATTTTGCTTTTGCTAAGAACTGTTTCATAAATTGTGCTTTATAGCATTATACCTTGCTTATTTTTCAGATTCAAAATATTGTATAAGTTGCCAAAACAGAACTAATATGACAGCGAAAAATAAAAATGTTTTATTTTAATGAAATTTATCAATGTTTTAAAAAAAAAATGCCGAAAAATTCTCAGATCTTGGAATTAAGAATTGTCTAAAAAAAACTGATCTTAAAATCGCTAAATTTAGAACTGTTTAATAAAAGAAGTCACATCCCCAAAAGCAAAAAGTTGTTTAAAAGTTCTTCATTAGAAACTTGAGTATCAAACCATTTATATTAGAAGTAGGAACAATTATAACCCATGAACCTATTGAAAAGATAACCATATATGTCAGTGAAACGCCAAAAAATATTCCTCCAGACAGCATTTTCTGATGATTCAAATGAGGACCTTCTGCCGATTTTGGCCGAAATTTAGGACTCTTAAAGACCGTACGAACCTTGTATTATAAATTATTATTATAGAGTCCACACTTTACCTATAACTGAGTAATAGGTTGCAAAAATATGAACTGAGAATTAATATTTCTAAATCTGTTTTTGGAGTTAATGAACTGGAATTTTTAGGCTTTCTAATTACAGCTGAGGAATCAAAAACTCTTCCTGGAAAGGTTAATGCTATTCTTAATGTTAAATTGTCTGACACTGTGCATCAACTACAATTAAAATTATTTATTTTTTATTTATAAATTATTACAATTTATTTTTGTGTTAAATTTTCTTTTAATTTAAATTCTTGGAATGGTTAATTTCTACCTTTTTTTTTTTTTTTTTTGAAAAACAACCCTGGCACTCAAACTAATTTACAAGAGTTTTTAAAATGCCCAAATAAAAGAGAAAACCGGAAAATAACTTGGACAGATGAGACCATTCAGCACTTCAATGAGACCATTCAGCAGAAAAAATGCAAAGATTTAGCTAATGTTACTCTCCTGTCTTCCCCAGACAAAGAATTATCTTTTTTTGCTGCACACAGATACTTCGAACTGGGCAGTAGGTTCAGTTTTACATTTCGAAAATGGTAGTTGGAAACAAATCGGATTTTATTCCAAACCTCAGACAGCAAAATTACAGTACATACGATGAACTTTTCGCAATTTCCATTAAATGTTTCAAACATTTATTAGAATGAAAATCCACAGTGGTGTCATGCATTGTGAGTTGCTCAAACCAAACGAAACCATTACTGGGGCTCTCTGCCAAATACATATGATGAGACTATGGTGTCCATCAAAACTTACTCTTAAAACATTCAAATAAGAAGTTTTCCTCTCCTGCTGTATTCACCAGACATTGCTTCTTCTCATTATTACCTGTTTTAATTGATGAAGCATGGCCTGTCTGAGCAATGCTTTACACCATATGAAGATACCAAAAACTGAGTTGATTTGTGGATAACCTCGAAAGATGAAGCATTCTTCTGATGTGGCATCAATATACTGCCAGAAAGTTGGGAATAAGTAGTGGCTAGGAATGGACAATACTTACATAACACACTGTTATAAATATAATAAAACATAACACACTGTTATAATAAAACATAACACACTGTTATATCAAAATAAATACCCAATTTTTGATAAAAAAATGGCAGAGACTTATTTGTATTCCTAATAAAATAAAATTAACTGTATTGATTGTATGTAATTTTTAAGAGCAAATGAACCATATACAGTACATCTGGTATAAATGGTAAGATCCTCTTTGGCTGTATATAAACCTTTGGGATACATGAAGTAAAATTAAGTGGACTTCAATTTCACAATTCTTCTCCTCCTCTTCCTTTTCCTGCTTCTTCTCTTATACTCTGCAGTAAATAAAATAAAACAGTCATTAGAAAATTAGGATAGATAAGATAAATAGGACAGATTCCCAAAAGCAACAAAATAAAAAAAAGGGTCACACATTATTAAAAATTTTACTATGCAATTTCAATACATTATACAGTGTAACTAAAAAATAACTAGCAAAAAGTAAGTAGAGGACTGAAATCAACAGATTTTGTAATGTAATATGTTGGCGGAAATGGCGTAATGAGATGATATGAGTCAATGTTTACATTGTTAAGCAGTCTGCTGGTAGAAGATGCTATTCCCTGTGCAGTCCTTCAGCAGTATGGTTGGTTTATTTGATTATGGCAAAGTACTAAAGGGCTATCTGCCTACATCGGGTGATATGGATCACTACACAAACATGGAGCTCACTGATAAACATTTTATCTATGGGGCAGCAGACTAAATGAAAGTACCTGTTCAAAAAATGTATGGAGAATGACTCCTGAGTAGACTGCTGCCAAATTGTCAAATGTTCAAGCTTATCAACCAACAGTGATGTGAAAGTGGATCATTCTGTGCTTGTGAACATGATGGAGGAGGGTAGAGCAGAACTCCTGCAGTGGAAGAAACTGCAATTCATGCATTTGAGGATAATTCTGCAAAATGCATGAGAGATGTTGAGTATCTAGCAGCCAACCAACCATTTTGGAGGAATTTATATGAGGACAAAATGCATCCATGTCATCTGCAGACAATGCACATGTTGAAATCAATTATTTTCTGCATGTTAATTTTGCCTGCCGGTACTTACAGCATGTTGCAGCAAATCCTGAGATTCCTTCACATTTTTTAATTACTGATTAGGCAATATTTGCATATTCAAATATGTTTAACATCAACAATTCTTACCTTTAAGTGCATGATAATCCACATGGCATAAAATCAAATACTTACCAGAAAAAGATTCTCCAATATTGGTAGAGTTGGCATTCCAACCCTACCCTTCGAAGCATTATTTGTCCACATAGGATTCTACATTCTACCAAGTTGCTTGAACGGCCGCATGTACAACAACTTTCTGCAAGATATCTTGCCAAAGCTTCTTTCAGATGTTCTCCTAGCTGCTTGCACACGAATATGGTCCAGAATGATGAAGCTCAGTAATGTCAGAAATTATTTTAATAAAGCCCACTAGACCAGGGACAGGATAGATTTTCAGAACAGTTTTTTTTCTCTGGGGCACATCAAGAGCAGAACCTACAAAAGTCCCACTGAGATCAATAAAGATCTAGTGCCTAGAATGTCAAATGCTGCTAGAAACGTATGTCAGAGCCCTAAGAACTTTCTTAATATACCATGCATTGCTATTATGAATCTTGCATTGCTGTTCATTGTTGCACTTTCAAGCAACTTCTTAAAGCAATTTCTTAAAAATTTGAATCGTTAAAATGCTTGTTTCTTTTGGCTTTACCACTCATTTTTACTTACCTGTTGTTTATGCCTTCCTTACGGGTCAGTACTTACATATGCTATTTCTGCATGCACATTCCATTAGAAAATACATTTATTTCAGTTTCCTCTACCTTCCTTCACACTTTACTAGAATTCTTTTACACTCAGCTTTTAGTGATGGAATAAAAAATTCCCTTGTTCTGATTTAATTATGATTCTCTCAGCTTTTACCCACAATATTTTACTTAAAACACTACCAATCACAGCAGAAAATAAAGCCTTGGTTTTCCTGTTTCCTCAGGCATTGGTTTCAGTGTGCTAAACAAGCATACTATTTTATATATAACAAGAATTAGTGTAAAATGTGCACTGAAACTGTAGGTGTCAGAGTTGTAGCAAAAGCATACTTTGACCTACTTAAATAAAAAACCGGGACTAATCTAAAATAAAACTAATATTTATTTCTTAATATAAATTAAAACAACTAGGCTGCAACAGCAGCCTTTACATTAAAACTAATGAGAAAAGAGGAACCAGTGAATCCCATCACATTCACCGATTCCATACACATCATCGGCCAATCAGAAGCAACCACGTTAGTTTATCGGCGATTGACCTCTGATCTAATTTGCATGAGGAAAAACCAAACACAAAACATTAAGTTAACAACGGCTCTCTTTTCCTCATGCTAAAAATAAATAAATAAATAAAATTTAAAAAATTGAAAGATTTCAGATTTCATATTATGCCCAAAGGTTTTTTTTTTTTAAAAGTTTTTTGTGTTACCTTTATTTATTAAATAACATGTGCTTTGTACTTAACTTTTTTTTCATTAGAATAATGTACACAAAAGCACAGATGCTTGCAACATGGAACATCTTGTTACGAATTTTGTATATATGTAAATAATTTTAGTGAAATCATAAGTGAAATTGTAATACCTTTCATATAACGTAACATAATACGACCTAAACAGAATAAAGCTCTGCCAGAAAAATAAGATTACAGGTGTGAAGTCTATTTAACATTGAAGTAAATGGCTATCTTACTAACTTCACAAGATATCTCCAAGTTGGTGATGATTTTGGTAGTTCACTGCCAAAGATGACAAAACTGGCTATCACTTGGCGACATTAAGGTATAATCTCTGCATAACTTTAATTGATCCCTATATATGTAAATATAACTGTAACCAGAACTTACATGTAACTTTAACCATACATGCCTTGCAGTAATTTCGAGGAATGGAAGATACTTAAGATTTCTTGGGGGCCAGGGGAAAAGTATATAAGGCCATCAGTTCTCAGTTTTTAGTTCACAGTTAGATCTCCATGTATGATGGAAAGACCACTTGGCAAGTGTAACAAGACTCAGTTCTCTACAGTGGGCAAACACAAATGATCCGAAGCTAAAGCCTAACATCCCGCTGCTTCTTGGACAGCGGATGCATCGGGTATTCTTCAAACCGTGCCCAAAACCAGAGGCTAGACTTCGAAGCACTATTTGTCACACTGGAGCTGCATTTTGGCAAGAAGTGTTTAATCCTCTCAGCATTATGAATGGAAAATTCCGTACAGAAGGGTGGCTTTCGTATTCATTACACAGGAAAATTTCTGCCAACTTTTAACATACGATTTCGAGTTAGATGTTTATTGGAAAAAAAGAAATCAAAGTATAAAGTAAAAGGCTTATTTTTTAATTATAATCAAGAAAATATCATTTATTCATGACATTTTTACAAACTTTGAAATTTCAGGGCTAAACCTGTAATCCTCCAAGGGTTAAACATTACAGCAGGCTTCAGTTAAAATCTCAACAGAAACCTGCAGAAACACTTCAGAAACGCCACAGATGTTGAAAGGCTCTCTCATCTCGCCTTTTCTAACTGCCCAACAGAAACAAGTAAATCCTGTCCCTACAGTACTTTATCGACGGCATCAGGGATCCTGAGATACAGAAAGCCCAGCGAATGACATACGTAAAGTATCTAAAATGAGCTTTAGTGTATGACATGAAAGTCGAGGCAGGCCACTCGTACAAACTGTCGCTTTGGCAGTTCAAGGTATTATATTGGCCATTTGTATTATATAATGCACCAACAACATTCGAATGCCTCATTATAAACCATGTTGTGATGTCTTTCATACAAAGCTTGTCTGATATACCAGGATGACATCATCATTGGGAAAAGTTTTGAACAGCATTTAGGAAACTGTAGGTAGGTGCTTCAGATATTGGATGAAGCTAATCTAAAGTTAAGTCCTGCCAAATGTAGCTTGTTCAGATAGGAAGTGACTTATCCCGGACATGTCATCTCTAGAAAAGGTGTGTGTGTACATATCCAGAAAAATTGTCGGCTTAAAGATTGGAGATGCCCCGAAAATGTCCATCAGCTGACAAGTTTCCCGGGGCTTTGCACCTACTATAATAGATTTGTAAAGGATTTTTTTTCCATCACTAGACCCCCTTCAGAAACTGACACAGAACAAACAAAATTTCTTGAGGACAAAAGGTTGTAAGGATGCATTTAACAAACTGAAGAGACTTTAGCATCTGTGACAATGTATCCTTAACTAGAAAAACCATTTATTCCTGACATGGTTGTGAGCAATGAGAGTGTCAGCACTGTTCTAATAAAATATAAACAGTCAAGATCATGTCACTGCATACTGGAGCAAAATTCTGTCTAAACCGGAAAGGAATTACTGTGTTGTCAGAAAAAAGTTGCTCGTCATTATTAAAGCCATAGAATACTTCCATTACCTTCATGGCAGAAATTCCTGCTCTGCACAGATCATGCATTGTTGACCTGGCTCCTACATCTGAAGAATCCCAAAAGCCAAGTAACTACGAGGGCAATCCCAAAAAAAGGTCTCCTATATTTTTAGATATACAAAGAACCATTTATTTTCTATAATTGCTACATCACTTTAAAGATTGAAGAATGCTTTATTTTTCAACATAATCGCCATTTTGGTTGATGCATTTTTGTAGACACTGTGGCAGTTTTACAATGCCCATGTCATACCAGCTTGCCGCCATGCCCTTCAGGAAGTGTTGAGGAGCTTCAGGAGCATCCAGATGATCCTCCGATCTTTACGCATTTTACGAACTCGACAATCGCGAAAGTTGAGTCGGCAATTGACGGCCTCCTGCTCCTTTCTTCGTCGTGAATTTCAGTACGACCGGCTGTACTACTACTCTCTACACCACTTGCGAACGTTTTTGACATCCATGCACGACTGTCCATACACTTCCGTCAATAGGCGGTGAATTTCAACCGATTTAACGCCTTTTGCGTTCAAAATCGAATAATTGCGCGCACTTCGCACTTGGCGGTAACGTTTATCGGGATCTCCATTTCAAATGGCTGCCAAGCCAAGACTGAGCATCCGAGCGAAGCGCCTGCGTGCTTATGTGGTGCTTATGTGGCTGTGTGTTGCCAACAACCGTATTAAAACTTTCTCTACGTCCCCAAAAAATAGGAGACCTTTTTTTTGGGGGGATTGCCCTCGTAGATGGATAAAGACTCCAGGATCACATAACTATCCATCATTCGAAATGACGATGCCATCTGGAA